CTTCTTAAACTTACAATAAGTTATTATTTAGTTACCTAAACACAGCATGAAAAAGGAACCAGTCAGTCAAACTGCCAAATCATATCAATGGTGAAAGTGGTGAATGAATGAAAGCAGGTCAAGACTAATCAGTTTAAACAAAGATCCCCCCCATTAAATTGGGACTACTAAAAGAGACAAATTTCACGTAAGTTTATCAAAATTTTCAGTAAGTCTTATAAGAACTGCAGCAGGCAGTTCCCTGAACTTTAAGATCATTTTTAAAAGTCCTCTTTTATTGATATCAGCCCTGAAAAAAATCATATCAGTCGATCCCTAGTCTTCAGCTCTCTGTTTGGAAATTGTTTAGCTCCAAATCACTTTGCTAAATGGAAAGGAGGATAGATTGGCTGATTATTGACAAGGATAGTGCCCTTGCAACATTTGAGTGAAACTTTGGAGCAACTTGCAACTACAATAGCAAAATCATGTTTTATTGTTGCATTACGTTTTCAAAGACAACTTGAACCTGGAAATGAAAATGATCAGCTCCATAAACAAAGTCTCCTAAATCAGTCTACAACAGTCTAATCAGCTCAAACCATCTCAAAGCAACTATATTTTAAATTAATTTCTCTCAAATAGATCTGCCAAGAAACATCATCGCCGCATTTTTGCCTAGCTTTCACAGACCTCTAGCGAGCGATGGACCAAGATGGTTCCACATCTGATTTGCTCTACTGTTACGTATTTAAAGGGGAACTATGCAGGATTTCAGCCGTAATTATTGTGCCTCGGAGTCACTGTGATGGTTAAGCGACTTGTTATGGGGAGAATGGGGCTTATCTGCCCGCTTTCTAGTGTATCTTGGCTGAAAACCGACCTTGCAAGATCAGGTCCACTGCCCCAGTGTCCCAAATCTCATCGCTGGATGGAGCTATCGCGAGAAACGAACTGCTTTACAGTACGAGACAAAAATACTCCCCGGCTAGTAATAAAAGGAAGACAGCCTCTCTTCACTGGTGTTACAATGGCAGAGCCGGCGAAAAAGAAGAGGTGGCCGTTGTCAGAGGAGGCGAGGAAGAGAAAACAAGCATCTGACCGAACGAGAAGTCAGACACGAGTAAATCTTAGTCGATCTTTTTCAGAATGGAGAGAGCTCAAGGAGAAAGAAGCATGCAAATCAGATGCTGACCTGGCGTTGTTGCTGTTGCACTTGTAAGTATCGTTGCGAAAAAATTTATGTATTCCTCATATTCATATGTCGTTGCTCACTCTTCATGTTTGCTGTTGTTTGCAAAGGCCTTTGAGCGATTATTGTATGAGTGGTGCTTGATGCTTGTTAGCTAGCAGAGATGTTAGCATAGTTACCGGTAAACAAGTTTGTCACGTAGCTGTTATTTTAGTACATCGTCCTGTTTCTGCCCCAGGAGTGTAATTTTACTATGACCCACATAACTTCATCAGCCGAATCTAAGTTTTGTGAGTTTTGTGCAGTTCGCTATTTACATTGTGTAGTTCAAGATTCGTCAGAGGAGCAACTAGAAGAGCGTGTTACGAAAACATTACGTCTGATAAACATCGGTGCTGAAGAAAAAAAAACTCAGAAAACATTAACAAAAAAGCCGCAGTTATCCTTAGCCTTTTACTTTTTCCCGTAATTGTTTTGCTTATGTCAGATATACGATGTAAAACTTGATATTGATATATATACAAGGCTACAAACCTCGGTAGACATCGTTTCAGGACTGCCTTCTCGCCGGCTTCGTTGTAAACAAATGCACATGGACGGGGGGTGGAGGAGGTGGTTGCCATGAGATTTTTACGACAGTTGTGTGAAATTTGCACACCGGAACTATAGGGGGAGCTGCGATTTCCGACCAACTTACATAGTGCCCTATAATGTTACATAATTTGCTGGGATGACTTGTTTAGATGACGTTCAATAAGTTAAATCAGCAAGGCTTAGTCACCACTTTGGCAAAAGGTTTGGTTGTAGAAGTGATAACTGTTGAATCAGTAATGACCATTATTTTCGTTTTCGACACTTTTTAATGCTTCACATTTGACGATATGAAATACACGATCATGTTTTTTGAGTCTACATTAAAATAATAAAATTCTATGAAGGAGAAAGTCTCACCCCCCACCCCGCCTTTTTTTTTTAACAATTTGTACCTGAATAGGCTACCAAAATCTGCGAAACATAGTAATTCCATTGTCACACAATTACGTAAACATAATAATAATTTAATTAAATTAAAAACCACAAATCAAAAGGAGAAATTGATCCGACATGATAATACCAATAATACCAATTCTGTCTAGGGTGGTTCATTATCCAGGACTGGGGTAAGGATTGACTACAGGCCTTAAAAAAAAAAAGTTTGTTTGAAGGAAGGAAAAAATAAAATAATAATACCACCGACCTCAACCCAAATTCTTGATGTCACCAAAAATACCAGATTTTTTTTTCTTTGACCTTATTAGCCTCCAACAAAATCAGTATGCTTTAAATGTAAAAAAAAAAAAAAAAAAAAAGAATTGATAAATAGATAAAAACAAAGATACGAACATTGAATTCTAACAATTCATTTAGCCAGATGGCATAAGCATACTTTAAATAAATAAGAACATTCCTGAAAAAAAAATATAACACGGGCTGAAAAACTGCAACCTCAGCCATTTTTACTTGTGATTGATGCCCTTAGGTTAAGTCCACCAGTGCTACCAAGAAGTGAGAGGCCAGTACTGCAAAGCAACGCACTGTGCAGCTAGATCACATACCATCCAGTCTAATCACTCCTCACAGCTGGGAGGAAGGGTAGACAGTCAATTATAAGCACACATCATTCTTACACCTGTGTGCCATTCTCCAGAACCACACCAAATGAGCAGCGCTGAAACACATCACAGGCATGATCAGTTGTCCATGCGACTTCAACTATACCACAGGAACTTTTTTATGGGCCATTTCATCCCAACATATTCAAGTGTATGAGACAAGAATTTTTTTTTAACTTGAAATTGGTCGCAAGTATGGGCGTCACATGATTTGGCCTCGGTCAGTTGATTTGACTCACAACAGAACATGACAGAAAGCAAGAGAAAGGCAGTGAAGAAAGGAGGCTGACATTGTGGCTGAAGCGCCAAACAACCAGAGTTGTACGAAACCGTTTCACACCCCTGCATATCAATGCATGCGTTTCCCTCAGATCCCACTTCGAGGGCGAATGAGTGAAACTCATGAAGCAGCGCCGCATTGATTTCGGCAAGCAAATTTAAGTGAAATGGCTCAAAGCTGAGCCACATTGAGACAGCAGTCAATATCCCTGACAACATGAGTTAGGCGTTCGGACCCATTCTCTGGGACAACTGAATCGTTGAGTTTCCAAAGGGCCCAACTCCAATGAACTAGAGGTCTGCATATCTTCTAACCACAGGGGGAACTTTCTTGTCATTTCAGCCAAAAGTATCCGAATGACACTCTTGTAAAGAAATAAACTAAAAATAAGGGTCATAACATATGGGCAAAAAAAAAAAAAAAAAAAAAATCTATTTTTCCCTTTCTTGAAAAAGAGTGTTCCTTGGGGTTGGGCCCTTTGGAAACTCAAGGATTAAATTTTAGAGGGGGAAAAAAAAAATGTGCTTCGCGGGGGCAAAGGCAATACCCCTCAGCCCCGACACACTGAATCAAAGATGAAGGTGTTTGAGCCAGAGTGAAAGGTCATTGTGGTACAAAACCTGGACAAGGCACGCCCACCCACCAACGCAAGTCCACATACATGCAAAATCAAGTTCCTAACCCAAGCGGTTTGAGAGAAATGGCCCAGACAAAGTATTAAAGGTGAAGGTCAGTGAGGCAAGGTCAAAGTTCATTCGGGTATGAAACCATGACGAGACAAGCCTACCCACTAAAGCAAGTACACATATGCAAAATCAAGTTCCAAACCCAAGCAGATACAGGAAACGGTCTGGACAAAAATTTTCCCCACCCGCCACACGCCGCCCATCCTCCCATCTGCGAAGGGAACGACAATACCTCTCTGCCCCTTTGTCGGGCTGAGGGGTAAAATAAGGCAGCAACATGTAACAAAATATTTTTCTTCATTTCTAAAAAGTTTTTGTTTATTGCATATTTCAAACAACCAAAAAAACAAAAAAAAAAATTGTGTCATGTGCGCATGAATTTCTAACAGACCTTTGCGTTTCAAAGTAAAGTGTATATTCAGAAAAACTTCAGAATCTCAATTCTGAAATGACAAGCAACTCCAGAAGGCTACTGTGACTAACATAACAATTAAAAACCCATTTTCAAAAAAAAAAAAAAAAAAAAGCCAGATCTAAACATTTCACCAAGTTCAAAAACATATCAGATTTTAACAAAAAAAGCACCATTTTTCCTGAGAAAAATGGGAAACAACTACTTAACATTCCGCAAGCCACCAGCTCCAGACTTAACACCGGACCCCACATTACCTATCCTAAAATGGTACAATCTCTACATGAGGGTCACAGTTTCAGTCAGTACTTATGCTGTGTGCGTGTCAGGCTTAAAAGTTAAGCACTTATTTATTCAGCATTTCCTATCAGAGCAGTAAATACAGAAAAAAAAAAATCCTCAGAATGAGGAAAATCCTCCTTAAATTCTGAATGTCAGAGAATCAAAATTACTCAACTAACATACTATTTTTAAATGACTTCACCTCATTCGAAGACATCAAATTAAATCGATCCAACAAAATAAAATGTCCTCAATACAAGCATGAATATGAAAAAAATGACAGTGAGTCTTCCGTGGAGTTTCAAACCAGCAGCCCATCAGAGCCTGTGATGCACAGGAATAACAAGATGGGGGGGGGAGAATCATACACAAAATGGGGGGATTCTTCTTGCTATGTCACCTGCAGCTGTTGCTGCCATGACCTAAAATAAGCTTCCAAAATGCATTTCAGAAGTACACTCAATGTTTACGTAAAAATTAGGCATGCATATATGGGTCTGATTAGATGTTGCATTTTGGGGCAGCATGGCTCAGGAGGTAGCGCAGGCGGCCTAGGAATCTGAGGGTTCCGGGTTCGATCCCCGGCTCCTCCAGAGAACGTGTCAAAGTGTCCTTGAGCAAGATACTGGACCCCACACTCCTCCTGATGTGCAGGTTGGCGCCTTGCATGGCAGCCTCCGCCATCGGGGTGAATGTGTGGCATAGTTGTAATGCACTTTCGGGTCATATCATGTGACTAGAAAGCGCTATGTAAATGCAGTCCATTTACCATTTTGTCCATATTCCTTGACTGTTTACATAAAAATCAATGTGATCACAATTCCACATGACAATTTTTTTTTTTTTTTTTTTTTTAGAGGTGTGTTCTTATGATCTGGATAAGTAAAATTAGACAAGTTTATGAAAGCTTTTCCACTTTCAATTATTATTAATTTAACCAAACTTACTATTTCAGACAATGTCTGTAAGGAGGAGCTGGCTAAAACAATTAGCTGGCAAAAGTTATGTTTTCTTGCAGAAATACTCACTGACATTTACATGCATGGTGCCCATCATATATCATATTAGATGATTTTACCAAAGAGACGTTTTTGCAATTTCAGAAATTAGGTCTCTTCGTAAAAATGGGTCAGCATGACTTTTTTGACATTGGCAGTGCAAACCATTTTTGCAAAAAAAAAAAAAAAAAAAAAAACTATATACTGACCCCCATACCACGAAAGTGTGTGAATCCCAGAAGCACGGAGAGAAATATTCTCTTCCTTGAATATATGAAGCTGAAAAAAGCGAGCCCAAACCAATCAGTCCTTCACAATATGCAGCAGCAGGTTAAATCCATACGTTTGCCTACTATGAAGTCACCAAACTGCATGTGACTTCCAAAAGAGCATTTTGTTGGGTAGGGAGCAGACACAACAAACCAAACTGTGCCAGGCTGAAGTAAACTAGCTAGTATAAAGGTTAAAAAAAAAATACCATCAGCAATTACACTATGTACCCAGGCTTTGTTAACGTAGCTAAACCCATCCGAGCAGAAATAAATGTAATGCCTTCATAAAGCACAAAGATTCAACGCTAAACACTCTTGAGACGAACCTGAAAAAACAATCCATTTGTCACCCTCAACATTTTAAACCAGCGAATTTCACGTAAGTTGGCAAGCGCTGGGCCAACAGCGTCCGTTCACCCCTTAAATCCCAGCCAGCTGGAAAACCCTGCAAAATAGACGTAGCGGAATAATAATGTAGGATGCGGTCTCCTGATGAAGACCACCAATTCAGCGAGGCCGCAGCTGTAAATATCGCCCCTGTTACTGTGACAATCTGCACTCTTCCCCATAAAATGGAACCTTAACTAATGTGAGAGTATCTAGGTTAGCGATTATCGTTAGCATCTGTCAACAATAACTAAGGCATGCTGTTTTAGCTAGCTAGCTAGTTGTTTAGATTGCTGACTACCTAGCTAGGTCGCTTACGGGGGTGTAAAGCCGCTTTCACACCGGACGCGAAACGAATTTTTCGCGCGACAGATTACATTCAAAGTCAATGCAAAAACGCGAATACGCGCGTCTGCGTATTCGCGTCTTTGCATTGACTTTGAATGCAATTTGTCCTGCGAGAAATTCGTTTCGCGTCCGGTGTGAAAGCGGCTTAAGACTCTTAAACCAGGCCTCATGTTTAACGAGCAAGCTATCCATCACGTAAGAACATTGATTTTGCCATTTGCCTAACTTGACAAGCCATCTAGCTATAAATAAATGAACTTGGGGTGGCATCGACGCTAACATTGGCTTCATTCGCAGAACGACAGCTAGCTGACAACAGCTAAGTGGCTAACCTTAGTTCGTTAAACACGGCTCCCATTAGGTCATGTGTCCAAGTTTAACCGGGCTTTGGCTAACCATAGTCATATGCCCCTGGTACAGAGATTACATGGACCTCAAGCTGGTTGACAAACTAGCCATCTTGGCAAGTGTAAGTTAATTGAGATTAATGACTCCAGTTAACTGCGCCTACAACAAGAAAATTGACCAACAAACGTTCTTCAAGTTATGCTGAGCAAAATTCAGTAATTAGTCAGGTTATGCGGGCAGCTGCCGTGACACTCGCCAAATGCAATCAGAGGATAACCCCGTTATGATCGTGTTGACTTTGGACAACTGTGGACTACCCAACCTGGAGAGCTGGCTAGTTAGCTAGCTAGCTGCGCGACTGCGCAATGACGTTAGCCTACATCTTAGCCATATGATCACAGCCAAGTCAGCAAGCGTTAGCTAGCAAGCTACATTGAAAATGGCAAAAAATCAAAGAGGTAACTCGAACGTCAGCAGTTACTGCCAGTTCAACTTTGTTGCTTAGCATTAGCTAGCCAACTACTTAATTGCCATCATTTTGAAGCTAGCTGTCCAAACCATAATTTTCAGCGTACCGTTAGCTAGCTAGCTACGTTACTCAGTCATGCCACCCATCTGTGGCACCGCAACTGATAGAAAAAGCCCGTCGACGGGCTTAACTTCACTATAACGGCACTCCAGCAAAAGCTAGTTAGCGTTAACAGGTGCAGGTCAGCTAGTTATGGCGAGGTTAGGTTACACACCGCGAACATCATTCCTGATGACTGTTATTAGCCTGGCTAACGTTTCCCCATTTAAAGCAGCCGCAAGTGTTTGGGCTTTGAAAGTTAGCGGACTTTAATTTAACGTTAGTGTGCATACAGACTTAAAGCCGCTTTCACACCGAACGCGAAACGAATTTTTCGCAGGACAGATTACATTCAAAGTCAATGCAAAGACGCGAATTATTCCCGTCTTTGCATTGACTTTGAATGTAATCTGTCGTGCGGAACATTCGCGGGTAGGGCTAATCTTCTGAAAACATTCTACTGAAAAACTACATCCATCAATACTTTCCTTCATAATTTCATTATTTCTTAATATACTCTGATGAAATTTTCGCCAGTCATTCTTGATATGTGCATCTATCAACATCTAGTTGAGTTGATGTGAAAAAGAAGAAGTAGTAAGCGAATTTTCATCCGAATGTTTTCAGCAGATCAGCCCTACCCAAAATTCGTTTCGCGTCCAGTGTGAAAGCAGCTTTAGCTAGGCACCCAGCTACTTAGACAACCTACGACTCATTTGCCAATACTTAGCCAAAAATGACTTCACTGATGCTTGCAAGCAAGTCTGCCAGGAAACTACCGACAATTTGTCCGAGTAACGTTAACGGCAGCCACCACTGACACTCTAGTTAGTGATAGCCAAGTTACGTTAGCCGCCTAGCTATCCATCATACACTACGGACAACCACATACTCAAGCTAGCTAGCGGGTTAGCGAGATAACGTTCGTCTAAGGATAGCTTCACTATCGAACACCTCCCAAATCAAATTAACGTTCTCGGCCAACTAGCTAGCTAATTAATTAGCTATAAAAAGATCACAGTGGCCTAAAGGCTAGCGTCCCTCGGAAGCGCCAGCTTAACGTTAGCTAGCTGGTTGGCTACTAACGCCGTCAGTACACATCTATCGTTAGCTAAAGCCGAGAAATCCCATCACCGGAATTCAATTCAACCACATGCAACATGTCATCCGCAAAAATGCCAACATGCGACACGGCCGAGCGCAGCTCATATGCTGCCTGGCTGCCCAGCTGGCTAAGCTACCTGATTAACACCAACAGCTGAGAGTGCTACTTAGTTAGCTAGCTAGCTAGCTGGCTAGCCAACAAGCCACATACCCAGATAGCGGATTGCAACTCGTTAAGAAATTCAAATCCATTAACTTGGCTTACAGATGTTAAGCAAAGGAACTCACCTGTGTTGGTACGTATCACTTTTTCTATTTGTAAGAAACGATCCTCGTTTAATGTCCCGGAACCTGTAGGTCGAAGTAGGGGATCCAGCTTCTCTTCTCCAAGGAGCCCCCCAGATTTCCCAACAAGCAGCCCTCACTCCTCCGACTCGGTGTCAATTCAGTTTCCCAATCAGCAGCGCCTCTCCGTCACCTAACGCTAGCCCGCTAGCGCGCTAGCTGAACATAAACTTACTCGATCTAAGCCCGAGGAAACGTACATTCGGAGCTAACCGCAGAAATTTTTAATCCTCGTTGACTTCGGTCTCCAACCATATACAGTATCCAAAACAGATTTTAACGGCGAGGCTTTTGGTAATAAATCTTGTTTCCTTGGACAGATTTTTTTGTAAATTTCACAAAATGGCGCGCGTTCCAAACCTGCGCAGCGAACCGGCCCGGCGGACCATAGAGACACGGACAGCCACTACGCTCGGCGCCGCCTAAAAATATCCACCGCGTTCGGTCGTGAAACCTCGATATTCTTAATCCGATTGTTCCGTCGGGTTGGTTTTACCTTTATTTCCATAGTTAAGAAAAGGTAATTTCATTGTTTCAGGCGGGAAGCTAAATTATTTGAAAAAAGAAAAAGCAGCTAACAAAATGGTGGCTGACTGAGAATGTTACCATGACAACTGTCAATCAAACTACGAAGTTCCCGGATGGACCAATGACGCAGGAACTGACAGTGCAGTTGTCATAGAAACTGCCAATCATATTACGTTTAAAAAGAGGCGGAGAAAAATGGAACGTGCGACTGTTGCTGGACTCCTCGGCACGTCAGATGGCATTCACTATGTATCATGAGAAAGACTACGACAAACTTTTTGTTGTTATGACGAGAGAAGAGTACTTTACATCCGTGACATAAGTTTGTAATAGTCTATATGTTTAAATATTTGGTTATCGACACATAAAAGCTAAAGAAAAGCACATAGGATGCAGTGTACAATGAGTGGCAATTCAGAGTGTGTTCACTCCCAGTCCTCGTTCGACATTGTATGTGGTTGTTGCTTAGCTTGAGATCTGTCTTTGCTGCATGTTGCACCCAATTTGTGCCAATGCAAAAAATGTGGTGACAAGATTGGTTATTTATGCTATCACACTGTGGATTCTGACACTTGTTGCTGTAGACAACAGCATCTGACAAATGCCTGCAATGTGTGATACCCATCGATGAAATATGCAGCCACATTCATTATTTTCAAACATGACAAAGTTTATGGTTTGGGAACTTCCACTTT